AAATGCACTTTGGCTGTACGGAGTAATAAGCAGCTCTTGCTTATTTTGCTCTTCTTGGGGGAGGGGAGTGGGAAGGAAGAAAAGGGAACAAAGAACCAGATACATTTCTTACAAGACTGCCTTGCATTGTGGTAGGATTTTTGATTCTGTGGTGGTTATGTCCAAATCCTGTGGGGTTGTTCAGTTGTAATTCAGAAAACAAGATTCAGATGGTACTAATGCTAATGTAGATGTGTGAACTAAATTGATAAATGATATTTCTACTCTGCTTGCCTGTAGCGTGTAGTGTTTTATCTACATCTTAACAGAGGCTTAAGTAAATACCTAAATATATCTTTCATAGACTTGTAACATTTAGCACTGGCACTTGCTGTACTCATGGTAAATGGACTGATTCACTGTGTACAGGGAAACAATCTACAGGCTGTTTCGTGGTCAAAGTTCAGTTCTTAACATGTGAATTTATTATAGTAAATGTAAGAGCTGGCAACAGTACACCATCCACAGGTGACAGAGTATAATTGAATCTTGAATGTGGTCTTTTGATAAGGGGGGGGGAAAAGCAGAGCTATAGTAGCTGGGAGCCAGCAATGAGGAGTGTCAGTCAGCAAAAATGTCCTAGCTACATTGCAGTGTGATAGCTATAGTTTAGATTATCAAGGCATTTCAGATATAAAGGCCTCTTTTCACTTCTGGATGCAATTTCTAATGTTTGGGTTCTGTTTGGGGGTAACTTTACACTTTATATGAAAACAAACTAGATGTCTTTTGAATACTGGCAGAGTAGAAATACATACTTTGCAGAAAATGAGAAAAGCGTGTCATTCTTTAAGCGCTTAAAGTACAGCAGCGGCTTGTAGTAGAAAACAAAAACTAGTCAGGAAAATAGATCTGGGGAAAGAGAGATGATGGAGAGGTGTTCTTCTGTGTCTGAGATACCTGTTGGCTTGAATAGGCAGAGTTCTGAGGTAGTGAAGGCCCACATGTAAGGGTTTGTATGTGCCTAGTAGTTTTATAACACGAATGGTTATCTTACAACATTATTAATGAAAATGAGCTGCATGAAAATGTGTGCACATAGGATTGCTTGAAAACCTTAACTGGCTGTGATGTATTGGAAGTAGGCATAGTAGTGGAGGAAAATAATGCATGTAAATTTAGAAGTGTAATTAAGGTTGCACATCTGCCTCATGAACTGGGTGCCATTCAGTCTGCACAGGGCTGAGCTGATTTTCTACTTGCATGAAACAGTTTTCACCAGTTGAAAAGTATATCTTAGAGGAAGGATGGTCCAGCGATTAGAGCACTAGCCTATGACTTGAGGGACCCTAGGTTCAAGTCCCTGCTCTGCTAGAGGCTTTCTTTGCGAGTCTGGGTTAGTCGCTTGGCTTTTTTATTTCTCAGTTCTTCTTGCATGGGGATAATGGCATTCTGTCACCTTGCAGTCGTGGTGTGAAGATATTTAAAGATTGTGAATGTCCAGATCCTATGGTGATCCAGAGAAGTAGTGTATTACTGATTTTGTTGATAAGTGCATAGACAGATGTCTAGATAGTGAGGTAAGTCTCCTTGGAAATGGTAGTATGTGTCCTCTGATTAAAGAGGGCATTGTAATGCATAAGGAAGATGAGATAAAGGTGTGTAAATCTGGACTTCTGCTGCTTAATTTTGCAATCTTAACATACCATAATCTGGCCTTTAAGACTGAGTATACATGACAGCTGGAGTACTGCGTCCAGTTCTGGGCGCTGCACTT